GACAGTGCTTTTATTGGTAAAGTTGTATCATCATTAAATTCTCCTGAAGATGTTAGTTTCTTTTTTTCATCTAAGGAAAGCAGCTTAGCTATATCATGGCAGTATGCTGAAACCAGCTCTTATGGTTTGGAAATTAGAGATTCTGAGACTAGTGGTCTTGTCTGGAGAAAAAAGATATTCTTGCAGAAGGATGAGATTGAAGAAAATAAAGTTGGAGCTAAAGTATCGATTGAAGAATTAAAAAATGTTAATGATCCAGACAAAAAGTATACTGTACAAGTCTATTCAGTTGCTAGTGGTAACAATGAGCTTGATTCTGTACACCCTGGTCAGTCTAGTGCTATTCTAAAAGTTTTGAAAGCAGCTGTAATAAAGAGGTTTGGATATTCTTTTGAGAAGAACTCAATTTTGCTCTTACTAAGTGAATTAGAAAATGTTTCTAATTATTTGGCTTTGTTTTATCAAGGAAAATCATTAATAAAAAGGGCTACATCTTCTCAACCAGAAATATATGTAAATCCAGCTAGTATTGCAAATAGTGTTAATGACTTGGACACCATCTATTGCTTAGTCCGGTCTTTAGGAAGTGGAACATTTATAAGTAGCCCAGTAACAAGATCTGATAATCAATTACAGGTTCTTAAAGCTCCTAAAGCTATTACGTATTCTTATGATCCTGATACAGAGAGCATTACAGTATCCTGCTTACCCAGTGACACCAAGAAAGACACATACAGGCTAGGGTTTCTTGATGCTACTGAACACGATACCATATTTTCGAAACTTGCCACATACTCCATTGGGAAATCTATCACAGCAATATTTTCTTCTGATCATCTCAGGAATTCAAACACTAAAGAATGGAAATGCTTTGCTCAGACAACCCTCAAGGAAGACAGCAATAGTGAAGTACCTAGTCGCTGTCTCTTTCTTGATAATGATATCAATGTACTAGAGTCTCCACTCATCAAGGATGTGAGGTGCAGCTCCAATCCTTCATTAACATCACTTCTGTTACTTGTAACTGCTACTTCAGTCAGTGAAGTCAATAAGTATATCATTATCTGTGACTTGTTTGATGCAAATAATTCTCTGCTAAAGGAGCTAAAAGATAGTACTGAATCTGAAAGTGATGGAGATGTGATACTAACTGCATCTATTAGTAGGAAAGTCAGAAACTGGAAGGAGATGCAACCTCAAGTGGCATCAATTAAAGTTACTTTAATAGCAGGAGGGTCTGGATTCTTTATTAGTAGTAAAATATCAGAGCCAGTATATATTAAGAAAGAGAAGTCTTTATGTGATTTAGCTTATTCCTATGATAATATGGAAGACACTGTTACAATAACTTGTAAACTTGTTGATAGTACAAAAGCCAGCACTTCTAAAGCTATACTGGGATTATTTGATGCTAATAATAATGACAATTATATATTTGATATAGCTGATTACGTTGAGAAAAAATTTTCTGTCATCCTTCAAGGAGAAGCTGTAAGAGCCTTAGATGCAATTCAGTGTATTGTGTATGCTCAGACTGCAGGCAGCTCTACAAACTTACCAACTGTACTAACCCTTCAAGATCACATCACAGTCATTCAATCACCATCAATAAATTCTGTGAGTTATAATTTCAAATCTAGCAGTTTAGCAATGTCATGGTTTTTTGTGGAGCATGCTATTAGCTATGCTATCACAATAATGTACAAAATTAGTTCTGGAGAGATAAGATCTGTCACTGAAGAAAGCAAAGACTCTAACTTAAGTTTGTTGATGAATGATAAAGTTAGCAATTGGAATGAGATTATTAAACATGTCACATCAATCACATTAAATATTGTATCAATTGGCAATGGCTATTATATAAATAGTAATAGAACTGAGTTTGATATGAATCGTCTGCCTGCAACTGCAAACATTTATCTTCATTGCACTGAGTCAGATGCTATTGTAAGCTGGGATAATGTGAGTCTAGCAAAGGAATACATCATTACTATTGATGGAGGCTATCAATCATTAGAAAGAATTGCTCCTAACTCAAATACTTCTATCACCATTCCAAAGCGGTTGCTCTTATTACCGTCACTTAAAGCTAATATCACACATACACTGGCAATAAGTGTAACTGCTGTCCCAAGTGATGCTCATTACTTAAATAGTTTTCCAGTAATGGCAGGATTTGAAATGAAGGCTCAGAAGTTTCGCAAGAGTCCAATTTATGGTACTACTACAGGAACAATCAATGATGATGGAGTAGAGTGCAGTGGTATACCCATTGTTGGAATTAAGGATATATGCATAGGTTTTTACAAGGGAAGTAATGTAAGATACTTTCGTGCAACTTATTATTTAGCTGATGGTACTACTTCTATGGGATTATCTCATGGTTTTTCGTACATGACCTATGTTCCTAGTATTGATTATGATGGTCCAGATTTATTCAACTATAATATGCCAGACAATCCTTTTCAACCAGATGCAGGTAATCTTTGTCGAAGCAAATTTCGTCATTTGCCACAACCTGACATCAAAGAAACTACAATATCATTTGACAAAGAGGAAACAATCATAGCAGTTAGGGGCTCTAGTGACTCTACATATGCTTGTCTATATTATTTAATATTTATCACACAAAAACCTGATGGTTCATACAAAAAATATGGGCCATTTGGTAGCCCAAAAAAACAATCAAGTAAAGACTTGATACAAATAAGATTTTCTGGTAATGTTATTAGCTTCTTTGGCAAATGCAAAGCACATGAAAGTGTTGGTGCTATTGGTTTCAACTACACATGCACATCTAACAAGATATTAGTTTCTAATGTATTTGGAGGCAACAATGGAAAATATTTTGATGATGACACAATTATTCACATTCCTCCTGTCACTAGCATAAAAGAAATCAGAGTCATGTACAGTAATGAATGCATTATTGGGATTCAAACTACAAGTGCATTGAGTGATGGGTCAGAGTGGACCTCATCTGAACATGGAGGGGGTAAAGGGCTGGCTGAAATAAATAAAGTGTCTATCAACCTTCAAAATGACGAGGTTATAATTGGAATAATTGGGAAGTATTCTGACAACGATGAGCTATTGGAGTTACTTAGTGAGAACAACTGCCATGGCTTAGTTCACCAGTTATCATTTGTAACTCAGCAAAATGATCAAACTATCAAAATACATGGACCATATGGTAAAGATATTGGTAACACATTCACTATAAGTGGCAACCTAATAGGATTTTATGGCTGCATTGGAGCATTAAATGCAATAGGAGGATTAGGAATTTATTACTCATTAGAATGTTCAGAGCTCTTAGGATCAAGTAATGAGAATGTTGAAGATTTTGATGATAGAGCTCTGACTCATAGTCCTCATATTGTAGGCATTAACAATATTTTGATAGGATTCTCTGAAATTGCAATTAACTTTATTATGGTAACATATCTACTCTCTGATGGGAATACTTGGCAAGCTCCTCATCATGGTTCGCTAGGTGCAGAAATGATGAATAGCTTTCAATTTGAGAATGATGAAGAGATAGTTGAAATGAAAGTAAGTCTACACTCAGTTACGGTTAATGACATCACTGCTAGTATCAGTAAGAATAACTATGAAAGATTCCAGTCAGTAGATTATGTCACAACATTGCAACATAAAATGAAGCAACTCTCACCATCATCGTCAATGCCAATAAAAGACATGGAGATAATGCAACTTTATAAACCAATGCTAGAGATAACAGCAAAAATACCTGGAGTAACAGCAAAAATACCTGGAGGAACAGCAAAAATACCTGGAGGAACAGCAAAAATACCTGAAGGAACACCAAAAACACCAGAAAGAACACCAAAAACATCTATGGGAACACGAGAAACACCTAGAGGAATACCAGAAACACGTGGAGGAACACCAAAAACACCTGGGGGAACACCAGAAATACCTAGAATAATACCATCAGACATACCTGGAGTACCACCAGACATACCTGGAATAATACCAAAAATACCTGGAGTACCACCAGACATACCTGGAATAATACCAAAAATACCTGGAGTACCACCAGACATACCTGGAATAATACCAAAAATACCTGGAATACCACCAGACATACCTGGAATAATACCAAAAATACCTGGAGTAACACCAAAGCCACGAGGCCTACCAATACCCAAAATACCAAAAATAATACCACCTGGCAACCCAGTCCCCAAACTACTTAATTTATCATCAAGAAGCCCAACACCTGAAACAGAGCCAACTCCCGAGCCAAAAATACCACAAAGTCAATCTATGAATGTATTAGGAAGTATTAGAATTAAAACAAGGTCTTTAAATGGATCAAAGAAGGTATATGGACCAATAGGAACACAACATGATAATGAACAAGAAGCTGTCCTGAATGGACGAGTGATTGGATTATTTGGACAGACTAGTGCTATTGATGAAGCAAAAGTTAATATTGTTACTGCTCTTGGAGCTTATTATATTCCTCTTTAAATAATATTATTCAGTAATAGCTGTTAAATAAAATTAATATTAATTTGATATTTAAAACAATTGCATTTTTGACTTACTATGTACCAAGTTTTGTTTTGTTATTAAATTATTTCTTTTGAAATATTAAAACAATTGTAGCTATTTAAGCGCTACTGCAGATAATACTTTAATGCTAAGATAAGAGCATGTGAGTGTAGTCCACAATGGACTCCAGTTAGAGGGGTGAGATAATTATCAATGGGTCTCTCGTTCCCACAGGATTTTGATATAGTGCTCATGCAATAGATTACAAACTGTGCATGCATCACAACTGATATAACACCAATAACCACAAGTATTAATAAGAATACCACAAACTAATAATACAATATCAATAATAATTAGGATAGATTGACAAGTGAACATTATAATACTATTATTTCTTACAAAACTTTGGAGTATTCAGCTAAAAACCTTCAGCCCCACCTACTAATTAAGTATGCAGAAACTATCTGATTATCTCTGTAGTACTCCCTCTATCTTTCTATGCTATTGTTCACCCCTTGTCTCTTATAATAGCAATAATAATAATAATAATAATAATAATAATAACTAAGAAGAACAATAAAATATTAATTAATATTTGGACACAACTTTCTCTTAGTTCCCAATAAGAATTCTTTCCCATATCTTAGCAACGAATCATCATAACTCACTTTGTATTTCTTAGTTTTTCTATTCCGCTTACACTCAATGGTAGGCTTGTCCCTGTAGTGCTGAATGACTGCCATACCATGAGGTACAAGCAGCGGATGAGTTGTCTCCCTTAATCTCCTACAAGGTGCATGTATATCAGTATCTAGTATTTTTAGTGGTTTTACGATGAATTTAGATCTCTCATAATAATGAAAACGACACTGTGATTTCTCATAGTACAGGAAGTATGGCGGTAGAGAGTGACCAGGACAAAGATAGGATTGCAGTTCGGTGGTTTTGTCTTTCAGTAATTCTTCATCCTGTGTTTTAAGATAAAAGGTGTTGATGAATATAAAACTATGGATGTAATCTTTATCAATTTCATGTAGCATCTGATGCCAGTCTGAGTGTGTTCTGGATACAATGACTTCATCAAGATCAAGCATTGCAAGGTAATTCACTCTGTGCAGGTTCCTGTAGTAGCAGTCATGTATTGCTAGTATCTCACCATAGTAATGTAAAGTGTCCTTCTCCTTAAAACCTTTATGCCAGTGTAAGACCTCTAGTGTTAAGCTCTCATCTCTGGCATATGCTCTCTTTAATTGTTCTTCTATTTCAGTCGACATGTCCAATAAATATATAGTAATGGTTTGAGCTCCAAAAATTCGCTGCATTTCGATAAAATTGACCATCTCCTCCAAACTCTTTCCAAAAACAGGTGTCTCCAGACACACCCCTATATTAGCCTTTACCAGTGGCCGATAGATGTACACTGGTACAGGGGTGGACGACGGCTCACATGTTTGGGCGAAGCTAAGTGAGACAGCCATGGGTACTCGGGCATCGCTTCCCGGAAGGCGACAAACATGAAACACATGTTTATACTTGTACGGCTTGTTCTCATTCATCTCTTTCTGATAGTTGCAAACGTCCATTTCGATATAAACTGATTTCTGCGACTGACAAGAGAGCGTTCTCTCCCCATCTCCCTCTTTGTAATGAAACAGACAATAAAACGTACCTCCTTCTGTTCGTCTGCTCTGGTATCCTAACAGCACTATTGAAGGACCGTATCGCTCTTTCCTGTCCTCGTAATAGGCAGAGAGAAAAGTCGCATTTCCAACTTTGGCCCAAACTAGTGGATTCTCTTTATATAAAGTTTTCCCGTGTATCACATTGGTAGAAAGGTTGGTCGGAACAATTGGATGATTTTCTGTTTCCTTTTTATCAGTTGGAGGGTGAGTTGCTGCTACTTCCTTCTCGACTTCCTTCTCTATTGAGCGGGGAGTAGAGAGAGAGGGCGGACATGTAGGACAACGTACTAGTATTTCTTTTGGAGAATCTGCTGATTCTTTATTTTTACAGTAAAGGGACGAGTATGGTAATATGATAGACCCGAAGAAGAGGATGAAAATCACGAAGAGGAAACTCTTCTGTCTTCTACTAGCCATTAACAATTTAGCGACAGGTAGTTACTCGTTAGGCCTTGGCGGATTATGCCAGCATAATTTTGAGCATAGATCTAGATCTAATAGAGCCCAAAAGCATAAGCATAATAGAGCTATAATAGAAAATTTTGAAAAAATGCATTGAGAATGAGAAATGCAATAAACAGGCACTTGCACTCATGACAATAAATCATAGATCTATGAATAAATTAATTGTTTTCATGTTTAAACAGCTATACTATATCCCAACTGAGTTTGACCCAAGAAAAACTGGAATAACTTTTTATAGGAATGTGGGATAAGGATGAAACTTTCACAGGTTCTTAGTCGCCCAATGCCATCACAGATCTCAGGTCTTGGGTCTCTCAGCCCTTGGGAACCCTGAGAACCGGGTTTTCCCTATAAACCCAATGGCATACCAAAATGACGTTTTATGACAATTTATCTACGTCATAGTTTACATAAGAACATGTGGTCGAGCGCCCAAACTGATAATTCTTCTTTTTAAAAGCTAACAGAGCAAGATTTTCTGATAATGATTGCCTTTATAAAGACTAGTTAACTCCAGCAGCTATTGTACTGCTTATCAGAACAAACAAAACCTTTTAAAGAGTGCAATACAGGCCAACTACGCAGCTGTAAAATGTCAGCCATGCTTCTATGAATATCATTATAATACGTCATCAGTGACGTATACCTACATTTTTCAAATTCCAAGCGGCTGGTGTCAAACTCAGTTGGGATATAGCATACTATTGCTCACAATACTTTCAAGAACTTCATAATTGAATTACTGGGTCAAATTTTTGGGTGGGGCTAAGTTATTATAATGAATTCATGGGCATAATTGGGAGCATAATAGCTGATTGGTAGGCTGTTTCCTGAGAATTGCAGCACAGCATAATAGAGCAATTTTAGAGCATAATCCGCCAAACCCTACAGGTTGTTAGCTTCTCAGTAAAACACAAAAACGGAAAGGTATGATGCATAGAGTAACGGAGGTAGTTTACGGACAGCGGTAGTATACGGACACTTAAGTTCAAAGTACCATAAAAATTTTAAACATTTGAGTAGAAACCCAATTTTTTCTGAGGGGTAGAGCTCTCCATCTGCAATAGCTAGAACCCATTTCAGCAAGTGTGCAATAGCAATTCTATGTTATATTTGACTGCAAATGATTATGGCCAATTGCTAAGTCCAAAAATGAAGTTTCTCTTAAAATACAAAAAAACTTCAACAGCTTGAAATTGCTGACTGCCGGAAAGTTTTAAATATGCCAACATCATATATCAATACAAAGGAAATTAATTACGCTATTTGATGGCATTATTATTATTATTGGAATTTTATAGGACTAGACATGAGAAGGAGAAACAGATAGTAGTAGAGGTCCAGTAGAAGGGAGTAGTCCTAAAGGAATGACAGGGTCTAGCCCTGCCACCCAGTACATAAATACTGAAAAGAAAAGGAGTCAAGAGGAGAGAGAAAAGAGGATGGGAGAGATATACATAAACAATTAGAGCATGGACAGACAGTGTGTAGAGTGTGTGAATCAGAAGAATGAAAAACATTTGTAAATTTGTCAATAAAATGGGATGTAATTAGTTTCTTAAAACTTGGGATAGACATAGAGAGATTGATTAGAGGTAGAGAGTTCCATAAACGGGGAAAGCGGTGAAAGAATGTGTGACGAGCTGAGGAGCAAACCCAGGAGGAGTGAACTAACTTGTTGTGGGCTGAACTGCGAGTGGAGCAAGTTGAGAATGAGAAATAGTTACAGATGTCAAATGAGTGGTCCTGGTGTTTAAACTGGACAAAGAAGAAAACAGATTCGATATATTCCAGACGATACATAAATGGTAACAGTTTGAGTGAGGAGAGTCTAGACTTGTAGTCTGACTGGTAGTCGAATAGAATATATTTAGTAGCTCTCCTTTGGAGCTGCTCTAGAAGGACAAAGTCCTTGACCAGAGAGAGTCTCCACACAGGAGAACAGTACGTTAGGATTAGGGACTATGCAAAACAATATATAAATAATGCAGTAAGAGTTATTTAAGAGCAAATACGCCTTGGTGACGGAGACAGTTACCGGACAATGATAATAATCACACAGTAACAGCAAACACAAGGGGGAAATGGAAAACTGAAGACTTGGAAAAGGCTATAGAAACATTTTGTGATGAAAATTCTGTTACTACTAGAGAAAATACTCAACACCAAAGAGCTCCACTAATACATGCATGACCACTCCAGCTTCAAAATTAAGCAAGTTTCAGTAAGGCCTGGTCCATCACCTATACAAAATTGCCCCAAAATTTGACAAAATACCATATACATGTTCTGCTTAAAAAATAATGGGTGGTCGGAAACTCCGATTGCTCCTTTTAAATTTATGTACAGACTAATGATGCTATGCTTTATGTATGGAAATTAATATTAATTGCATGGTTAGTTTAAGTGATGCACTCGTTCATTTATTACGGTATTGCTCCTACAATAAGACAAAAAACCATAGATACAAGGTATTCACCTTCTCTCTTCCTCACTCTTTTTCTCTCTCGCTCACCTTTTCTGTCATTCACTTCTTACTTCTCTTTCATTCTATTTCTCTCACCCATGAATCAAAATTGGCAAATTTTTCAACTTGCTCAAAAATTGGACCAAAGTCACTGTTAGTACGTACTATAATGGTCTTGGGCCAAATATTACCATGATTGATAAGCAAGGACTTAGTCATTCTTGTAATTTTTCTGATACATAGTGCATGTACTTATGTTGAGTAGCAAGTTTTATCTAGTTCAAATCAAAATTATATTTTTCACAAATTTTAAAGTTACTCAAAAATTGGGCCAAAGTCCTTGTACTAGTCTAAAGCACAGGGGTTTTGGCCAAATTTCTCCAAAAATGACTCTGAGAAAATTCTCCATTTTCATAATTTTTCCTAATACATATACATGTTCTTATGTTGTGTAGCAAGTTTAAACTGACATCTCTGATCAAAATTGAATTAAATTTTGAAGTTACTCAAAAATTGGGCCAAAGTTACATGGTCTCAGGCCAAATTTTTCCAAAATTTTTAAAATGGACATTTTCCATTAAGGGAAATGTCCATTAATATTTTCTGATACATATGATATAACTGCACTTAAGTTGCATAGAAAGTTTTATTAGATTCTGATCAAAATGGCTTTTTATGAGTTTTAAGCTACTCAAAAATTGGGTTAAGGTCTTTGGCAAAATTCTCTAAATTTAAAATAATTGAGAATTGTCTTGTTATGTATTTTAAAATAAGTAGCTTCAATGCCATTAATTTTGAGCTTGTAAAGAATGCTGAGAAATGAAAACTCTGATTTGACAATTTGCAGAGCAGCGAACTAAAAATCCAATATAGGTTTCATTAGCAAAACAATGAATAGCATGAAATCAAAGAGATATCACAATAAATTAACAATTATGAGTTTCTACAATAAATTCAAAGAGTAAAGAAAATGATCATGATAAATGAGTTTCTGAAAAATCCTATGAATGATAACAAAATTTTGATTATGACTGACTGATTAGTGTGAAAAAGAACATTCTATTTGAGTGTTAATTGAGAGTTGATAATTTAATAGAAGTAGGCTGGACATCACTAGCATCAGATTGATTATCTGAACTATCATCCTCTTCATCATCTTGATCAGATTTCAGTTTCATTTCTTTTAAACTATTTCTCAGCTCTGCCACTTCTTTATCTATCTCCATGAATCTAGAGAACTTGTCATCATTGCTAATTGAAAAGTCATCACTACTTGATTTTTCAGTTAGACTCACAAGAAGAGATGTCCTAAAAGAGGAGAGAATTAATTATTATCATAAACTACATAAAGTTCACACATGATAGTTAATTGAAATTACTTATAATAGCATGTAGTTGAAGTACACTACTATACAACATAAAATAATTTAGGTATTAACAAAGCCAAATTTGGAAAATTTTGGTTATTTATTAATTGGTCACACCTATGCAGGAATATTTACACGGTAAAAGCCAATGCATGATTATAGTAAATTCCTTGAAAAGGGTGATTTTAAAGCCTTTTAAAAACCACTGTCATAGCCAGACAGACCCCTACCCAGGTATGGTTAAGCAGTGCAAACAACTTGTTCTTGCGCAGAGATTAGCTTTATGCGTGAAATATCACTATAATCTGTTCTTATGGAGGCTTTAATGAGCTGGTTCAAGTCAACACTACCTCATGATGTTTCTTCAGTGCTGTCTCTACATATGGTCAGACTTCCAAACTAATAATTCTTCTTTTAAAAGTTAACAGAGTGACATCTGATAATGATGCAGTTTAAAAAGACTAGTTGACTCCAGCAGCTATTGTACTGCTTATCACAAAAAACAAACCCCAATTAAGAGTGAAATATATGCAGCTCCTATAACCCAATTCAATCACATAAGATCTTCCTCTCTCTCTCATGAGTTAGCATATTGGCAGACTAATGAGTAAATGAGTCCTTTAATTGACTCCTGATTATCTCTGCTTAGGATACCATATAGCACAGAATTTCAATTTTCAAGGGCTGTAAATTTCACAAATTTTGCAATTTTTTGAAGATGCACAAACCACGAAAATCAAATTATTACAGTATTATGGATGTGCACGACTGCTTTGAGCCACATCCTCCTCTCCTAAGAAAACTTTACATAGTATTCTGGGGGCCTGAGTGGCAACGTCAGTACCAAAGCAATTTTGATAAAGAACGAGAAAAATGTATAATGCTTTTCAACATCAGCTAGTTGCTATTTTAACAATACAAGGATAGCTTTGTATGTGTACAGTATGTCAATAATGGCCACTCCAACAAGTTTCTAAAAGATATGTTAAAAGGTTGGTTTCCTTCTTACACTGATAATAGTGAGACTGCATCACAGCTTGACCAAGTCCCTCTAATCCCAGGTGCTTCCCCAGCACCTATAAGTATCCGGATGACAGGATCCTTGTGTAATTCACTTGATGACCTTGGTTGTGCCTTAGATATCATTGAGTCGGATTGGTTTATGGTAGTATTGAACTCTCAATTGTTCCAAGTCCCTTCTTTTTTCCGCTTATTCTTACTTACATAACCTCCTGATAAAAAGAGAGTAAGTATAAGTTTAAATATATTTTTATTGATTGCTTTTTTAAGAAATGAACACGAGTGACTCGTAAAAAAGGTATGATATCTGTCTATAACTTTGTTTTATGTAATTTGCATAAGAGCTGTCCTAGCCTATCTTGTACTTCTTGTATTTTCCTTCCTGTTTAATCATTACTATTTATGATAGACTCAAGCCAATACACAAGCTGAAAACTTATTAGCCGCTACTTCTGTATATAATTGTTATGAACTAGTAAAAAGGCAGATTAGTCACACTTCAGTACATTGCTCCTTCTTCCTACCAATTACTGGTAAACTCCAATAAGTAGATCTTAGCACAAGTCCAGTTGCTTTTCTTAGACAATAATGATGTGATACTAATAAGCAATGTCCCATTTCACTTTGACTTGATGCAGTTTGTTCTATGATTAAGCCGGATTTCCATACATTCTCTGAGTAACCTTAAAGAGAAATGCTCAGTATTATAAAACTATTTTTGAAACCCGTATTGTGAATTTTCAGGAGGAGACCTGAAGCTGCAATTTAGTTAATCAGATGGTGAGGTCTTCATTCAATCTCACAATAAGTTTACTGTTTCACCAAAAAATGATATTGATCTTGTTTCTGATCAACAACTAGTAGATGATCAAGCAACAGTTAAATGGCAGCTTTTAGATGACTGAACATTAAAAACTTGACCCTTTCTATGGCAAAATATTAAAAAATATTCAAACAATGGTCAGTAATAAATAGTCGTCTCCTTCAACGGGTGAAAAAATTAAGAGAAGCCATAAAGGGAACTTGTCCCATTGTTCCACTGTCTCTTTGCTAATTCTTATCAGATTAGTTGTGCAACTTGAACTTAGTAGTACTTGCTTCTGCAATGCTCTGTTTATTATTTTTGGTGATAGCACAAAGAGGTAACATTGTATCACTGGCCTCCACACCAACCAACCAATAGGACTGCTGGAATAATGAAGAACATTGCAACAAAAAAATAAAAATAGTGAGTATTAACTTGCAAACCCTCTATTGCAGTAATGCACAGTGGACCATTACAGACTACCAGCATTAGCAGTGGGCTGTTTCCCCACTATACAGTGCAATTCTTGCTCCATATAAGTAGGTATTTACTCACAAGTCCTCTACTGCTTCAGCTAAACACGAGCAGTGGACTGTTTCCCTACTTTTGCATCTTCATTTCATCCTCTTCTTCATCAGCTCACAATCACTGATCAATATCACTTTACTCTTCATCTGAATCACTTTCATCATCATTTGCCTCAAAATAAATGACAAATTCTTCAACTCATTCCCAATCTACCAGCATTAAAGTCCTGAGTATGTTAACTTCTTCATTTAGGAGAAGTTCTACATTGTAATGCGCCTTGTGTAAAGACTGCATTGTGACCCTTTCCATAATATTTGACTTGCAACCAATAAAGAAGAATGTTGGAAAAGACAAGATTTACAATACTAAAAGTATAATACATGAATTATTGCCTCACCTACCCAAAGAGAGGAAGATGACATTGTCTGCCTCGCTAATCAATTAAGACCAGAAAATGTGGACATTGACAGCCTCAGAATTGGCATTGACTTTATAACAAGTTTGTAGCCAGATGTGTAAAATATCCTTTCTCAACATAGCAGCCTCATAGGGTGGTAGGGTGGGGGGGGGCAGTGATGCAGTATCACCTATTTGTGATAGTACTGGCTATCACCCTTGTCTAGGGTGCAAGAAAATTGCTATATTTACCATTTTTCATTGATTAACCCATTTTAAAATAATAATTAAATATTTTATTAAAAGTTGTGAAAAATTAATTTTACCAAGTGTTAATTGGGGCGAGCCTGAGCGAACCCCACATAAACGACACGCATATGTTTGCTTGTCTGTTTGTACACATACATCACCCCTATTTATGCGTTAATACAAAATTATTGCACGTTTTTAAAATGATAATTTTGATAAATATGGTACCACGTGCTAAGAGTACAAATCACTTGAAGAGAAAAGTTCAAGACACTTTTAGTTTTCTAGAAACAAGAAAAGCTTAAAACATGAGTAGTTCACAAGAAGATGTTCGTGAAGCTCGTAAACTTCGTCGAAACGAGCGTGACAGAGAAAGGAGAAGGAGCAAAACGGAGGAGGAGAAAAGAGCGAGGAGGGACAAAAGAAATGCTAGAGATAGATCTCGTCAGGGCCGAAGACAACAGATGGAGTCTCCTTCTGACAGAGAAGATCACCTGCTTCAGGAAAGAGCCAGGATACGAAGGATAAGAGAACAAGAGGAAGCTTCTGTGAGAGAACAGCGATTAGAAGGTGAAAGAGCTCGAGTTACACTGAAGAGAGAGCAAGAAGAGCCTGCTGAGAGAGAACAGCGATTAGCAGGTGATAGGGCTTGAGTTGCACTGAGGAGAGAGCAAGAGGATCCTGCTGAGAAAGGACAGCGATTAGCAGGTGAATCAATGTGATGGTACCGTTGAAGAGAAGCTGTTAATGACAAGTACAATGGAATTCCATTACTACACTAAAAACAATGTTGTCCAAAAAGTTAAAAAATATAACTGAAATGCATGTAATCACTTCTCATCATTTATCATTGACTCTGATTGATAAATAAAATTTGACAATAATGATAATTATAATAACAAATGCTTGCTCATTATAACCAATGCTTGCTCAGGCTCGCCTCCAAATGCTCTGCATTCATCTAGTGATAAGCAAATATTATGCATGCATGACATTTTTGTGATGCCATCGGTTAGAAATAATACGTAATGGTGGCCCTCTTTCATCTGTACCTACAGAACACTTTTAGAACCTAAAAACTCCAAAATTGGTACAAATCTTCGGAAGAACCTATTGTAACAAAAAGTTATAAGGGGTGGTGGTGGTTCTTCTGAACTGAAACTGACTATAAATGTTAAATTGTATGTTTGCAAACTTAAGTTTTGACTTCCTTATGTTCTTGCTCTCGTTTGGGGACATGTTACCATACCACGAGATTTAACTTGTTCAATGTTTGTATGGTCTTTTGTTATTCATTATAGTGTCCTCTTTTTTATTTAATTTGGCATCTTTTGTAAAGTTTACTTGTAATTAAATATATTCAACTGTATAATAACTTCAATGTCCAGTACACGTGATCGTCGATTGATCATGCCATATAGACACTGCATACCAATGATCATGCATCATCAAGCAATAGGCAGACGTCACCTCCGGTGAATCAAACCTAGCTGCTGATAAAGAGCCGAACGCTCAAGTTCTCTTCACTCTGACTTCTTAGTGTTCTCTCCTCTGCAAGTTCTCTTCTCAGGATCCTCAACTGGCCATGGCAGAAGCACTTAATAAATCTTGTCTGAATCTGCTTGCAGAAGCTACTTCTAATTTAGAGGGGGCTATCGAATTGCAAGGAGGTTCTAGTAGTGACGAAGATGCTAATGGCAAATCTGGTGCTGAAGACTCTGAAAGAGTCAATTCACCAGAAGGACCACATCAAGATCCTAATGCAGGTGAATCTGGCACTGAACAAATCCACCAGTAGGATGAGATCCTAAAGCTCTGTAAAGAGCCCACGATTCATTGCTAGAACGACATCAGGCCGGCCAGAGATAGTAGTCAGGCGATTAGGTATGTCAGTAGTAAATATAATAGCTGCATGGAGGATAGTGTACTGAACTTAATCACAATATATAATGCTTAACGGTACCCATTCCTCAGTGCTCAATCTGCTACCATTTGAAAAGTGGGGAGCTAATGCATGCTGTGTTTGCAACACTACCAAAAGTCTATCTTACAAAGAAGCTGCTCAATACCAAAATTTCTTAGAAAGAAGGGGAGGGCTTTAGCCCCCCCCCTCCCCATTATCATTATATGACAAAACGTGGCCTGTATCACTTAAAGGAACATTTCACAAAATTAAGTCATTAAATCCTCATCTCTATAAATATATTTGTTTTTTTGAGACGCTAAAGGGTGTTCCCATGCTAAAAGTGCAATACATGAATTATTGCCTCGCCCACTCAATGAAAGCAGATGACATTGCCTACCTTACAAGTCAATTCTGAACAGGAAATGTGGCCTCAGAATTGGTGTTGACCTTAACCAGTTTGCAGCCACATCCATGCAACAACAGCTACCTTGTTGGTTTCCATAGGGTGTATTGCTGCTTATCATAAAAATGAAAGGTCAAACATTAAAGTTGGCCCAATAGCTCTACCATCAAGCAGTCGGAAGACCTTTTTGACTGGAGCAGTATCAGAAGCAATGCAGAAAAATCAAATTTCAGCGTGTTAAGGATTGATTGAACTTGGTTCCATGTACATGTTGGATGGTAATTAAAAGACTCCATTAATTTAATGTTATGTATAGTTGCGTTAGTTTAATTAGTAGCTCAATAGAATCAGATAAATAAATATTTACAGTTGAGTAAGTGTTAATTTGTATGTTGGCAGTAATTTTATAATCGTGTACTCTTTTATTAGGCTGTTTTGTATGATTAGTGTTTCTTAGTATTAGTATATTTTTAGTATTAGTCTTTTAGTATGTTATATTGATTTCAAAATTCTTTAAGGCCAGGAAGAGATGTCTTTCATCTGAACCTGACTCATTAGACAGTGACAATACTGCATATGAAGGTTCCAATCAGAAAGTCTTTCAGACTTAAGATAATCCAAGTGCATGTTCCCCTACTGGAGGTGAGGGTAAACATTGGAGTGACTGCACCTTGCATTCCCCTTTTTTAGATTAACTACACCATTGGACTATAAAGAAACTATAATTTTGGACATCATCTATTCAGTCATCATTATTATTGGTATTATTATAATTAATACTTAATGGAAAGTGCCCTGTTGAAAAATTACTAAGTAAAGCAACAACCCTGGATAACTAT